AAGCTTTGGTCACCTTAACCAAACAGATTACAGGGGGCCCTTAGGCATTCTTTTGCTATATATTGATATCTCCTTACCTTTGCATCCAAATCTTTGAGGGCTGCTTCTTTCACTATTAAAATGCAGCACTTCACAGGCACCAAATAGCAATTGGCTTTCTGCTGCATTAAACAATGTAATTGGCAGTAAAAATGTTTGCTTCAAGCCCATCTTAGCAGGAAAACTAGACATTTTCGTGGTTCTCTCCTGTCGCTTGTCTGTTCATCCCACCTTATTTTCATTCTGCTTATTCCATGCACATTCTTACTTCTCCTTTGCTTTTTTGCTATTTTTCTTCTTCTATTGATTAACTTTCCTTAATATGCAGAATAGGATGGAAACCTTTGAGCCATTACAATGGAGCTGTCCCAGACTTATACCTGAAGTTAGTTGAAAATTTCTAGACACAATAGCAGGCTACCATCTTGTAGGTGAAGCTCTGGAAAACGGTGCTGGAGAAACCTTTGATTACTTAGCTGGGTTACTCATTGCTCTATGCTGTCAGCTTAATACTCCCAGCAATGGCGTGTATGCTATACATTCAGACCGACTTTTCTTCTTTCATGTAGGCTGATATACCAAACAGATTTGAGATGAAACTACACAGAAACAATATTTTTGAGGAATCCTATAGAAGAATCATGTCTGTGAAGAGGTCTGATGTACTAAAAGCCAGACTCTGGATTGAATTTGAGTCAGAAAAAGGACTTGACTATGGAGGCGTGGCTAGAGAATGGTTCTTCCTGTTGTCTAAGGAGATGTTTAATCCTTATTATGGTCTCTTTGAATATTCAGCAACGTAAGTGTCCATTAAAATATTTCCATTGTAAGTGATCTAGATTAGTATTTGGATAGAGAAAAAAAGTTATGTAGTAGACCCCTTAGATTTTCCTTCAGGATGTACTTTTAAGTTCTTTAACCAAGACCAGTGTAAAATGTATCTCTATACTGTGGTTTGTTACTTATTCCATGTTCAGGAAACCTTCTGAAATGAAACTGCTGCTGTGATCTATTTAGCAATTTCCATTGTTTTGTAAATATTCCACGTTGTTTTGCAAGGCAATGTACTGTATGCATTTGTGCGACTAGCAGTAGTGAAAGGAATGGTGCAAGAAAGGGGGCTCTTTTTATGCCACTCCCAATACTGTGCATGGTTGTTGCTGATTTAAAGTTCTGGGGTTTGAGTTGAAATTCAGCTCTCATGGGCCAGTTTAAACTAACGACCCTTTACACAACTCTGGCACTATAAATGGGCCTTAAAGTGGGAGTGAATTACATTTACACTGATTGTAAGGCCTGTTTATGTTGTCAGAGCAGTGCAAATGAGAAGCTGTCCCTTGTGCTCAAAGTGCCTTTGTGTAATGTAATGTTATGTACTTAACTATGAATATAGTGGTTAAAGATTGATTTGTTTATTGCAGGCAGTGCTTTCTGTGGTTGGTGTCAATATCGAGTTCACTACTTTTTTCCAATAGAAGTGTTGAGTAGGCTGTAAAGGAGATGAACTGTATAAACAAAAAATTCCTTATTCTGTGCTTCAGCTTCTCTTTTCTTTTTAAACAATTGCACAACTTGCAAAGTAACCTTCTATTTTTGTGTATACAGAAGCACAAGGTTGTAAAATATATGACTAGTTCAAAGTGTTTGTGCTTTACTGAATTTTGCTGCAGAAACATTTTTGCCTTTGAAAAGGTCCTTTTCATTCATTGGCTATATGCAACAATGCATGAATATTTTAAACTAAAACTATTTAAGTTTTAGATTCAATTTGGCAGAAAAATAAGTGACAAGAAATCCCACTGAAGTGAGAATTGTCATTAAAAATAGGAATAAGAAATCATTACAGGTGACATTTTTAACCTATGCTGCTAGAGAGCTTATTTCCCCCCCCTAATAGTGTGGTAATAAAATGAATTTAGAATTCATGCTGGGAAATACTCATATTTCCAAAGTATCAGTTACCTATTAGTGTAGTTATTCAGTCCCCCATTGCTGTGTGGATCACATTACGTTTAACTCTTGCAAGATGTATTCAGTCTGAAGAATATACACAAGATAGCACCTATCCATGGTTTTGTGGGTTTTTTAATAAATCCGTTGTCATATTAACACAATGACTTTATAGCAAATTTGGCAAATACTGCATGCTTAGATCTAGTTCTCTCCCAGGCTTAATCATTAGAATCTGTATTGTTCAGAGGCGGAATGCTGGCTGTGACTCAGGTGCTAGGGCGGGGGGAGATGGGGACTGACCTTGCACCCCTGAGGATCTCTTGCATTTCCACCTTCTTTTAAATTTCCCTCTCCTGTCGCTTGATTTTTTTAAAGGCTTCTCCTCACAGGAACTTTGTCTTTGATGAAGGAGAACTATGCAAGGCTCTTTTCCGTGCCAGTCAGGATATGTCTACACTGCAGTGTAAGCCCAGAGTTAGTGGGACTCGCATCAGTTGACCCATGTTAGGGAACCCTGGGCTTGAACATCTACCCTGTATCTTAACCCTATGTTAAGACTTTTCTCACCCATGCTTGAACCTAGGGCTATGAGATCCACACTGCAGTGCACAGACCTGAGTGAAAGTAACCATATCCCAGAATTCCTACTCTTCTCTCCCCCCCGCCCCTGCACTGAAATGTAGCTGCTATAGCCCTAGAACTGTGGTGCACTGTGGGAAATCTTTGCTGCTCAACATGCAGGAAGCAGCTTGCTTTGCAAAAGACTTGATAGATTTGCAAAACCAGGAGGCTCTCTGATAATGTGCTTGCAGATCGGTGATCAGAAGACCTGGTGGTGTTTGCAAAGGGGGTCAGCGTCTGTTTTCAATAGTGTGGATTTCAGATTGTTCGGGAAGAGAGGACTAAGGAAATTGTCCCATGGAATTGAGATGCTGCCAGCTGACTGCTGGGACCCAAGTCAAGCGGGGCTGCATCTACACTGCAAAGCAATAGAGCTCAGACCCAGGGTCCTGGGACCATGGGTCCACACCCTGGGTTAGCATAATAGTAGTGTAGACACAAGGGGGGTTAGGCTTGAGCCCAGGCTTAAGCATGGACTTACATTGCGGTGTAAACATACTCTCAGTGCTGTTCAATGTGCCTGCAAGAGGACACGCCTAGAGATAGTCATATTAAGTGCTCTCTGGGTGAAAGCCTGCTTCTGTTGAAGTCAATGGGACTTTTGCCATTAACTTCAATAGAGCCAGGCTTTGACCCTGTCTTCTCCAAGGGCCTGGTGTAATATTTTTTTACTTTTGTCAGCCGGAGAGTTCAGGACTCACATTGTGAACAGTCACATGGCAAAGGTCATTCATTGGGTTTATTGTAGCAATCTATTATTTTCTGTTCATGCTTCATCATTTTACAGCTCTCCTCTTGTTCGTCCTTGTGCCCTTCTTTTCCCCCAGCATACAAACTGGGTGAAAGAATATTCCCCCTTCATTCTAGAGCTTGCTGTGGTGACCAATGGCCCATCTCTGTTAAGCTTTTTTTTAAAACAATTAGACATTTATATGAATAAGAATAGTATTGGCTGTTAGGTTTAGCGACAGGAATGATAAAATTACAGCAGCAGCAATCCTTGTGCTTCGTGGCATGAGCTGATCAGCCACTCGGGTCATGTCTTAGACTGTAAACTCTTCAGAACAAGGACTATGTCCATTTCTGTGTGTGTACATGTCTCAGTTTGATCATCTAGTGAAGGCTATAGAGGTATTAAATATTTAATAAAAATAGCATTTTTCTATGGTAAAGTGGTGCATGGTGGAGAATAGGGTCTAATGCCTTTCTCACCTATCCTGCACTGGCCACACCTGGAGACAGGTACCACACAAGTGGCAATATCAGTCATGTCTGGTATGGTGATTCTTACATTCCCAACAATACAGTTTTGACTCCCTCAAAGTTCTGTAAGATACAGCAGCTAAGGCACACAAAGACAAATTAAAATACTGAGCTACTTGATTGCAGAAGTAGAAAATAAATGACCCAAAGTCAAATTACTTATTAACGTATCTGATGTCAACTACTTGATTATTTAAACAGGTTTTTTTTTCTCTTCCAAAAAAAAAGGGACAACTATACCCTTCAGATTAATCCCAATTCAGGTCTTTGTAATGAAGATCATCTGTCCTATTTCACGTTTATTGGACGAGTTGCTGGCCTGGCAGTGTTTCATGGGAAGCTATTAGATGGTGAGTTTAAATAATAATAATAAATGTTGTTATGGCATGTGTAATTTTTACTGACTTGTATTCCTGTGAGCCCTTCCTGAGCCAGCATTGCTAAAGAAGAGTGAGCTGCATTCTGTTCCTGTTTGTGCATCACCTACAGAATTGCTTCCTATGTTTAAATCAGCCACAGCTGAAGGCAGTGAGGTTGCATAAGTGTCAGTGAGGATATAATTTGATCTGTAGAATCTTTATTACTGGTGTGGGGTGAGAGAGAAATATTCCAGGTTAACCTTGGGATTCTGAAATAAGCATGCAGTTACAAAGATGTCTCTTTCTAAACGGAGTCCATTTTATCTGGATTCCCTAAGGCACAATAAACCATGCAACCTCACAATGTCATTTTTATAGTCACTTTGCAGAACAGAATGGCACCTCGTAAATTGGGAGCTCAACCCTTGCACCTAAATTCTCCAGACTTTTACATCTCTTTTACATTGTAACTCCATTGGTAGTTACACTGCCATAAATCTGTTGCCATGGAGTGGAGAACTGGTCCTTCTGTGCTTACAGAAAAGATGAGAAAGTTGTGTTAACTTAAGCACAATTGTATCTGCATTAACAGAGGGGAATTTCTTTGCCATTGGCAAGCTAAAGCAATATGACACTGTTTTAAACCTGAACAAATCTATTCTATGCCTTGACCTATGGTGGGTAGAGCAGAATAATGGAGGTTACACACTCTTTCCTCCACTGCCTGGATGATTTTATCTTTTAACAAATTTAATAATTGGAATTGCTTCAAGCTACATCATAGCCTTGAGACAATCTATAATCCTAAAATAAGGGTTTTCTGTGCAGCTGCTGTGGCTGGAGTACTAGTGCTATTTCTGCTCATTTTCTCCCAAGGACTCTGTAAGAATGACAATGGATGTGGATGCTGGGTGGATTGTGTGTGGAAGGCAGGGGATAGTGATCAGTTTTAATGACAACAGTAACACAGGACACTTCCTAGGGACTGTTATAACGAGTGGCTGTGGTTAGGCCCCTTGGCTTCATTTCAGGATGTCATTTCTCTCTTAGCAGATTGTTAATCTCCAAGAAATGCCCTAAGCTTGTACTGTTACTACTCGAATATATTACACTACAATGACTGCTGATTATAATTCTTTGTTTTACACTTGCTAATCTGACATCAATGTGATATATTTTTCTTTTCTAATTCTCTCTGTCTTCTTTCCTTGGGCCATTGAAAGGTGTGAAAGAGTGCTGGTTTTAGCAATGTTATTATTTGCTTAGTCAGCCCTTTTTGTCTCGGATTGCTAGCAGAACAAAAAAATACAGTTTAAAATTAAATCTATTTACTTGTGCCTCTTGGTTATTTTTAGGCTTCTTCATCAGGCCTTTTTATAAGATGATGCTAGGGAAACAAATATCGCTGAAAGACATGGAGTCAGTGGTAAGTGAACACTTAAAAATTATTAGTGTTAAGAGAGACAAGGTAGGTGAGGAAATATCTGTTATTGGATCAACTTCTGTTGGTGAAAGAGACAAGCTTTTGCACTCCACAGAGCTCTTCTTCAGGTCTGGCTCTTTGAGCTCAAAAGTTCTGTCTCTTTCACCAACAGCAACTGGTCCAATAAAAAATATTACCTCACCTACCTTGTCGCTCTCATATTCTGGGGCCAAAACAGCTACAATAACACTGCAAATAACTTCTTAGTGTTGTCAGTTACATGAGTTTCTTCTCTGGGGAAATTATAAAAGCTAATACTTCTAATAAACTACATGGTGACAAACACAAGTTAGAGCAGTGAGAACTTGGGGAACATTTCTTATTTTTTAGTAGAGGTACTTTTGTGTCTGCCAAGATAGTGATTTTAGGAGTAATGCAATTAAAATTATGGGGAAAAATAGGTCAGTTAGAAAAACAACTTGAGGTGCTTTTTTGTTTTCTTAATTATGCTGTAGACTTTCTGCTTCTTCCTTTTCCTTCCCAAACTAAGCAGAACAATGGGCAGGCGATATAGAACCACAGAAAAGAAAGGCTGAAAGGGACCTTGAGAGGCCATCAAGTCCAGTCCCCTGTGATGAGCCCAGATCAAATAAACCTACACCAGCCCTGACAGATTTTAGTCCCACCTGTTCAGAAAAACCTCCAGTAATGGGGATTCCACAGCCACCTTTGGCAGCCTGTTCTACAGCTTAACTCTGGTCCCCAACCTTTTTCGTCTGGTGGGTGCCAGATGATGAGCCACGGAGGACCGTGGCGGCGGACAAGCATCCGCCAAAATGCGATTTTCGTCGGCATTTCAGTGGCGACGCCTCTGGATGATGGTGCTTGTTGGCGGCATTTCGGCAGATGCTCATCCGCCAGCCAGTACACGGGCATATTTAGACGCCCCGGCGGGCGCCATGGCGCCTGCGGGCACCGCATTGGGGACCCCTGGCTTAACTACTCTTATAGTTAGAAAGATTTTCCTAATATCTCATCTATATCTCCCTTGCTTTAGATTAAGCCCATTACTACTGGACCTATCTTCAGTAGACATGGAGGGTAATTGGTCACCATCCTCTTAACATTTTTGAAGACTGTTATCAGGTCTCTCCTCACTTGTCTTTTTTCAAAACGAAACATGCTCATTTTTTGTTGTCCTTTCCTCATCGGTCATGTTTCCTAAGCCGTTTTATCATTTTTGTTGCTCTTTTCTGGGCTCTAGGCAGTTTATCCCCATCTTTTATAAAGAGTGGCACCAGGAATTGGACACAATACTCTAGCTGAGGTCTAACCCCAGTGATGACTAGAGCAGGACAATTACATCTGTGACTTACATTATTACTGAGGGAATTCTGTGCCAAAAAAATATGCAAAATTTTGCAGAATTTTTAATGTCAATAAATGTGTGGAGGATCTAGCATGGCAGTGGGGAGCACAAGCCGCAGAGGTGGGAGATCACTCTGCAAGGCCCCCCCCCCGGTCTCCCCCGACACAGACTCAGGGGTGAGGCTGCACCAGACCTTGACAAAGCGCAATGGCTGGGCCTGTCCCAGAAACACCCCAAGGCCCTGCCCCTCCACACCAGGTGCACCAAGATAGTAAGTGAGAGGGACAGAGTCTCAAATGCACTCTATTCGGACCTGATTCTTAGTTAATAAACTTTTCACTTACTTTTTTTTGCTTCTTGTAATTGGAAACCTTAATTTTTGATCACCTTTGCTGGTGTCGTTTTCACTATTTGTTGTTTTGTTTTTCTCTCCTGTTGGCTCACTCTTTAATTGTAAATCTAATAGAAGTTGAAGACATGAGCCATCCAGGGAAATAGTGGGAATCTGGTAGTTGGTGGATTTTTTTCAACTCAATAAAGCAACTTAATAAGTTGGTAACAACTTTGCCTTGGAATGACACGATACTACTGGGCTATTACAGACCATTTTAATTTGATTTATTTTTGTATAAGTAACACAGTCATGAGTGTGAACATAGAAAATATAGTATTCAGGAATAATGTAAATTAATAATGCAAACTATCTGATTTCCACTTTATTATAGCTGTACCAAAATGAAAAGGAAGACTGTACAATCAGATAAGAAATGTGAGAGATTGCAATCCATTTTAATTATTTCTAGAGCTCTAATTTCAGATTATTGGTTTTTATATTTGTAGAATATAGCATGTAATGGCAAGTAAACAATAATGTACGCATTTTCAAAGAGTGCTTACTTGTAATCTGTTCTGTTACTACAGGATAGTGAATATTATAACTCTTTGAAATGGATCCTGGAAAATGACCCTACGGAGCTGGATCTCATGTTTTGCATAGATGAGGAAAACTTTGGACAGGTATGTATCGGTTACTAAAAAAGAAAACAAAGATTTCAAACTCATCTTTCCTTCTTCTTTACTTGTCAGTTACTGCCAGACATTCAGTAATGCTGGGCAGTATTTGTGGTTTGGGAACTTAATCCGAACTTTCAAGTGTTAATGGTCAGTACTGCCAACTGCCATGCAGGGCTCAGATCCTGGATTCCTTTCTCCAGCGGTCAGCTAAGACTATGGGAAAGTTCCATAAGTAAGTCTGTTCAGGCCCAGTGGCCAGGAGGTCACTAAATAACAATCCTCTCAGCGAGGTGAACTACAAACAGTATGGGAAGCAGTGGTGTGCGCAAGCTTCCCCAACACTGTGCTAGAAAAGTTCCTCAGCTTTTGATCTGGAGGGACCACCTCCGGGGTGAGAGAGTAGGTGTCTTCATGCCCGATGCAGACTTTGGCCTCTGCGATCAGACTGCCAGTTAAGGTGCCAAGTGAAGATGGGGTTTGGGGTTTTTTTGTTTGTTTTTACTATATAGACACTACTGTAAATGAACTAGATCAAAAACAACCAGCTTATTAATGGGGGAGCTGGTAGCAAATGCTATTTTTACGTTGCCTAACACTCTCCATTATAAAAGATTCTTGTGACATTTTTTGTGGAAGCTCTTTCACTGCCTCTGTTTGCAGCAGGCCTTTGATATTTGCAGGGGGACCCACCCTGAGGCTACCAAGGTGCCTTTTCTTTGTCCCATGAAATTCTGTTAAGCCTTTGCTGAGAAACTGTTAAAAATCATGGGGGGAGGGATAGCTCAGTGGTTTGAGCATTGGCCTGCTAAACCAAGGGTTGTAAGTTCAGTCCTTGAGGGGAACATTTAAGGATCTGGGGCAAAAATCTGTCTGGGGATTGGTCCTGCTTTGAGCAAGGGGTTAGACTAGATGACCTCCTGAGGTCCCTTCCAACCCTGACATTCTATCATCACTATTTCCTGTCTCTCACTTACATTTGTCAGGAAAACTCTGGCAGCCTGCCAGAGTAACTAAACACCACAAATGTTCTAAGGCAGTGGTCCCCAAACTTTTCAGTCACGCTCTCCCCTCTCCCCATCCTGGAGCTGGGGGGGAAGTGTGGACAGGGGTAACAGGGCCAAGGTTGGGGCCACAGCTGCAGGAGGGTCTGGGGTTGGGGCTGAGAACGAAGCCACAGCCAGGGGTCAAGGCTGGCACCGGGAGTGGAGCCGAGGCTGGGGCCAGGAACAGAGCCATGGCCAGCCCACAGCCTATTCCCGCCTCTCCTTCCCTTTGGGGCACCACAAAGGCCAGAGCTCCCCCATTTCTCAGAGGGGTGCAGATGGCTGCACAGAGACTCAGGTCAGGGTCCTCCCAGCTACCCCCTGCATCCCATATAATCTCTGGGAGAGCCACATAGGGCAGGAACTTCCTCAACTCTTGGGTGGTGGGGGAAGAGAGATACAGGCCAGGTTGGGCATTCATTTTTTTCTCCCCCACTACCCCCAGTCCCACCATCTGGCCAGCAGTCCATCTCTCTTAGGTGCCTCTCCTGGGGCCAGCCAGTAGATTTGCTCTCTCCATGTCATTTGTGAGTGGTGGAGGGGTGGCGTTGCCTGATGTGCCTCTTGTCACCTCCTTTCTGCAATGGTAGAATTGAAAACATTCCCCTTCCTTCTGGTCTACTACTTTCCCTCTCAGCTTTGAGACTGATAGATTCCCCACATTAATGCAGAGAAATCCCCCAAGTAGCAGTGGCACATACAGGAGTATTTCCAGTCTTACTGCAGTTGACTGGGGTTAGGAATGGTAAATTAGGAATTTTAAAAGGAAGGATACTTCTTGCTTCCCCAAAAAGGTATAAATGGAAGCAGGTGATTGGTAAGGGAGTATGGGACCTGTTATGGAAATGAGAAATCACAGCTCAGCCACAGACTGAATGAAACTCACAACTAGACAAAATGCATACAGCTCCTCTTGCAGCAAATTAAAAGCCTTTAGAAGGTAGCGTACGTGTTAGATGATACAATAGCCCAAATTTTCTCCAAGTTGATTTCACTGTATTGCACTGAAGTGCTCTGAGGAACTAGCATCCTGGAGAATCTCTTTGTGGAAGTGACTGAATAAAATCCGTAAGGAAGTTGTGTATACCAGAGAGGGAGACATCTTTGCTTCCTGAATTTGCTTTTGTCCTTGATGTTTTTATTCTACATACATAGCCCAAAAATATGCAAGAAGTGAAGAACAACAATAGAATTTCAAACATCTGTTCTTTCTCCTTTAAAAAACAACAGGGGGAGGATTTTGATAGTTCTTACTAACAAGGCAGGAAATCCATGGGGTGGCTATTATCAATATGTAAAGTGCTGGGGAGCCTCCTTTCAATAACAGAAAATGAAAGGACCTGTGCTACATTCAGAGCCCATAATGGCTCTGAGATATTGTTTGTCGTTGTCTAAATGTGATGTGGCTTCTGGTGATGGGAAAGAAACAAGCAACAAAATCCTGCCTCGTCTTGGATGCCATTATTTGTGTCTGAGATCTGAATATCTTTATCCCCTTTGACCAGGAGACTAAAGCTGTTCTTTTATTTGTGATTTTCTTTTGTTGTCTTCTCTGACCTTCAGTTATTGCATAGCTGGGAGTCTCTGTGCTCTGTGTATGTGTCTGTCCCATATTGATGATAGTTTTTATCAAATCTCTCTTTTCCCTCCGCACCGTTTTACTAGGTACTTAGTTTATTGTTGTGTCCCCAGTTACTGGGGACTTCTGAAATGAAAATGCTGAGAGTGAAATACAAGGTTGTACCTAACATGGGCTAGATTCACTTCATGGGTTCCACCAGTAGAACTAGACTTCAGGATTGGGCAGTAGAAATTGCCAGGAGCAGAATAGTAGTTTAAAGTCAACCAGTGCCTTTCATCCTAGACCAAGTGCACATCCTGCACTGCAGGAGTGAATCAAAGCTCATGTTTGCACTGTAGGTGTAGTCACACATTCTGACTAAATACCTAGAATCCAGTTCCAGCATAATGTGAACTCGGACTAATACTTTAGAGGGTTCTCTCAGGGACTTGTTTGGCTGTTCCCAAGTGTTGGTCAGGAGTCTGGAGAGACTAGCCTGAAGACATTGTATTCACCTTCATGACAAATATGCTGTTTTTATTTTTTTCCTTTGCAGCTGCTGCTAAGGGGCATATGTTGTTTGACAGCTCGTCTTGTGCTCAATCTGCCATTCCATTCTTTAATTAAAAGATCCCATTTTCTGGCTTATGCAGTGCTCATCCGGAGTAATTTTTGTTGAACTCCTGCTTGTCAATTTTATTTTGCTCAGATCATTGTTTGCATCTATTTTAGTTTACTGTAAATTTTGGCATTTCTTGTTTTAAAGGATCTACCAATGAGTAAGTGGCAAACAAATACAGTAAATGGCTTTCAGTCTTACTTCTTTTTTCCCCGTCTAGGTTACCTCACTTTCTAGCAGAACTATATAATCATCAGAAACTTTCTTTAGAATTCTGTCCTCTTGGTTTTTGTGCTCAACAAAATCTTCTAACAACTCTGCCTGCTTTGTGGTGGTGCCCTTTTTCAAATCAAAGTTTCTCTGGTTATTATGCTGTCTGCTAATCTTTTAAAATTCTTCAAAATATTTGTCTAGATCTTCAGATAGCTGTTCCGCATTTTGCCGAAACTGTAACATGTTAATTATCCAAATGACTCTTCATACTCTGACCTAGTGTTCTGATCGTGTCCCTCCTGCTAAACAATTCAGTATTAATCAACTACTAAAGGAGATTATTTGTAATGGGTGCCTCAGATCTTCATAGATGCCAGGGGCACCCTCTGGCCGTGGCACCACCTCAAATGGGAGGCTCCATTGAAAAGAGCATATAGCCTGGGCTGTGTTTTCCTCACCTAAGCTCCACAGGGAATGATGTGTGTCACCCACCAGTCAGATTTCACCCTTTTAGCAACCCCAGTAATGTGAAATAACACCCCCATACAGAATCTGGAGAAGGGGAAATGGAGCCTTGGAAGAATGATCTCCCCTTTTCCCCATGGGAAGAGGGGACACTTGTGAATGGAGAAGGAAGGAGAATGACCCAGACTCTGGTGTGGTAGTGGGCAGTTCAGGAGGTGTAGAGGGTAAAAGTGCCACCTTTATAGCCCCCAATCCTGTTTCCTCCACAGACTGGACTGGTCCCTAGCATAAGTTAAAGCAACCCATGTCTGTCTTATGTCTAGCTGCCATGGCCCCAGCGCTCATTTTCTTTTACCCCTGGACACTTCTCCCAGTACTACCCAGGGGTTTGCCCATGCTGGAGAAATACTACCCCAGCCAGTTAAGTTGACACTGTAGCAGCTTTGTGTTGCTGGAAGACAGCCACCATAGCAGGCTTGCTGTCCCAGGTGTTGTGAGGTGGTCATCCAAAAATTGCTTCACAGTCAGTCTGTGTTCTTGACTCAACAAACTCTCTTTTCCCTATTGAGCATTGTTCATTTAATTCTTTACTAGTTGAATAGTAAACACAAAATGCAGCCCTGCCTCCTCACTTAATAATGAAATACAATGCATAATTCAAGCTCATAAATGACCATACAGCAATCTGTCCTAATGATGCCAGCTTTAAATATGAAACATCTCGACACTCAGTATAAAAGCCTCATTAGCTATTTTAACATATTAGTTACTTTTTAACATACATTGAAAACTATAGAGAGCTTATGAATTAGAAAATAGTTTAACAGATACTTATGTAATAACTCTCTTCTAATGAACTTTTAACACACTATTCAAAGATAGTAGATCTTAAAGCTATATTTCCTGAAATAATTCCATGTTTTGTTTTTGTTTGTTTTTGTCTTTTAAAATACAGACGTATCAAGTCGATTTGAAGCCAAATGGGTCAGAAATCATGGTAACAAATGAAAACAAAAGGGAATATATTGAGTATGTATATACTTTATTGTATTAATTTAAAAGTCTAACAAACCACAATAGCATGCTTTTTGGAACGTAACCTGCTAAGATATTACAGTGTGTAGCATAAACGCTACAGACAACTGATCATTAAGTAGAAAAATCCTTTTTACTAACATGACTTGTCTGAGTATTAGTGTTTTGCTGGTTTGAATTTTATCATTTTTAATCACTGTAGAAAGTACAACCAAGGTTAATTAACCCAATTCATGGAATGTATTAAAAACTATCTGGATGTTTTGGCAGGTAGTACTTTCAAGACTGGGTATCTATCCATTCTGGGTTTTGCCATTATTAATACTAGACTTTAGGGTATAAATTCTAAACAAAAAGAAAGTCCAGATCTAAACACTACCATCTGAAGTCAAATTTACTATGGATGGAAATGGATATTAGACTAGATAGCCTATTCAATTAAGATACAATAAGCAAACAGTAAAGCTCTAATTAATCTATTAACAAGCACGCATAAACAAAACTCTTTTTACTTACGTAGTATTTTATAACTTTTTGTTCAGCATTCTGGTCATGATTCAGCAAGATGCATGAGAGTTAGGCACATGCTTAAGTAACATATTGAATTGGAACCTGTAAAATGAATAGTTGCTACTTCTTTTCCTTTATATTGTTTGCAGTTTTCCAGTGTACTGAGTGACTCTCATGGGAAAAGCATTAGAAATTCTATTTTCTTCTCTGTTTTTATGAATTCTTTTCTGTTGCTGCTCTTCATATCTGAAATATATCTACAAGCCTAATTGTTTTTACTTGACTGAAGGCATGTTATTTTTCCTGACTATTGTGTTTGCAGACACATAAAATTAGGTGCCATAAACATTTATTTTCTCTTTCTTCTTAATACTGAGCAATAAAGAAAAGCTCCTTGAAAATCTAGGGCTATGTTGTGAAAGTTTCCACAACTGAATTCTGCTTGCACCAAGGTTCTTCCTGTGTTGACTCACATATTCAAGTTATTCTCAGAGATGTGGAATGGGTAGCTTTTACTTGTACACTTCCTCATTTCCACTTGTACACTCATTATATGGAAATAATTAGCATATCTGAAAAAATCCTGTCATAAAATTCCACAGAGATTCCCCCCACTCCTCCCAGAACATAGAAATAATTTGTATTCTCCATTACACTAACAATACTCAAGCTATTATGTATAAAAATATAAACTACACCTTCGTCTTCCTCACCTTCTCTACCCACAAAAAAATAAAACATACAAACCAATAGCTGCTCACCAGCCTGCCTGATAACTAAAATGTACCTCTTAAACAAACCCTATATTAATTATATGTTCACAATAATCAAGAGTGTGTGCTTGTGAATGTAGGGAAGGAATGAGGAAGGAATTGGAATTACAAAGTGTTATTCAAAAAGACACAAAATGTTAATGCAGAAGTGATTTAGTATTGTAACACAAGCAGCATAAATGCTTGAGTTTCTATACACGTTGGCGGCAATGTAGATTGTTTAAATATAATAGTGACTATTGTTTGCAGATTATTTAAATCATTTTACAATCCTTCCTAGGGGATGCTGAGGCTCAGTATTCTTACTAAATCAAAAAACAAACAAAAAGCCCTTCCCAAAAACTGAATTCCTTGTTTTATCACAGGTGGATGTATCAGTGCTATTGTCTGTAGATATAATTTCTGCATAAATTCATTTAATCTGTAGAAAATTGCGAGAAGTTCCAAACTCTCATTCTTTTGGTCCTAAATCACACTTAGATGAATTCTATTTTAATGAATTGTTTGAATTCATTAAAATAGTACTCTTTTACTAAATACTCTTATAAAAATACTGCAGTATTCTAAAGTAATAATCCATCGGTACAATGTATACCTTCTCTTGACCACTCATATAGTTAAATGCAGTAGTAATTTTTATCATGGGACGGACGGTATGCAATCATAATAGTAATACAGATTTCAGCCACAAAACAAGTAGCACTAGAAAGTTGATGATGGAAATTCAGGCTGTAGGCAAAACTTTCAGAAGTTTTGCTTTTTAATTGAATTAATGGGATGACTTACTATCCCAAATTCACTTTATATGTGTAAAACATAGAAGCTAAGACTTTTAAAAATGGGTGCCTGAAGTTAGGACCTTAAATCCATATTTAAGTATCTAGGAACTCCTGGGTGTTTCAGTGCTTTTGAAAGACAGACTATTTCTTCAGGTGCCTAAAAAATAAGGATAAATAATAATCTTAGAGTCTACCTTGAAGGCCCCATTTTTTTAAAAACTTAGAGTTTTCTAGGCTATTTCAATCAGAGACCAAGTTGTTTCACCATGTTCTACTTAAAATAAATTTAATCTCCATAGGAACAAAAAGATTAATTTCATTTAACTTCTGCACTTTTACTGCAAACCTCCTAATGATGTGGAAGGGTCATATCTAAAGATTTTTAAACATATGTCCAAAGCCATTTAAATGTAAGCTATTCTTTGGGATTATTTTTTTTATGCTCATTGGTGTTTTTTTTTTTCACCACCTCATGTCTTCTCATGGAAATTTGAGCAGTTAATGAAGAGATGCACATATTCATATGCTCAGTAGACATCCAAACTCAAGCATAAATTGGAGGCATTTTTCCATTCGTTTGCTCTGTTTATTTTATATCAGTGTTTGATGAATGATTACTGAAGCTATAAATGAGAAACTGAAAACATTAGAATAGGTGAGATCATTAAACATTCTGTTTATATCTTCTAATAAAAGTGTTTTTTGTTTTTTTTATCTGCTATAGCTTAGTCATCCAGTGGAGGTTTGTAAACAGAGTTCAGAAACAAATGAACGCTTTCTTGGAGGTAAGCTTCATTAGTTGTTTTCTGCCAAATAATCTTCTCAATTTATTGTGGTAGAGCAAGATTCATCTTTTTTGCATGGACTTGTCAGGCCTAAAAGTTATGGATGGGAAATCTTGCTGTATCCCAAAATTCTAGTGTTTAGAAAAAATCAGTAATATCCTGAAAACGTTTTTATGGTTCCTCTCCTGTCATATTCGTTCTCTTTCAATGTAAAAGATTTTCAAGGCTTTAAAATTAAGCAACATGAACTTCTAACTGATGATCCTAACATTACCTTTCTATTGTGACCACTAACTATATTCCATTCTCAAAACCCTTCTTTTCCTCCCTAGCCAGCAGTGATTACTTCTGTGCCATGGTGCCCTGCAAGCATGGTTCCTGGAACCCAGTGATCCACAGATCCTACCTTTAATTCTCCCTTGTGTGTTTCAAATTTCATTGCAGTTCTGTCCATTGCTGCACATTTTTCAGGCTCTGGCTTCTAGAAGATTACAAGGATTGCTACTGCAGAGTGTCTGGCTTCAGTCAGTTCCTCCCTCCCATTGATTCACTAACTACAATAATTTCATTCTTAGTCTTATGGAAACCACATAGTGGTTTGGGTTGTAGAAGATGACAGAAATTCTACTCACCATAGGCCTGTTGAACTGAAAAATCCTTGTCTTAAAAAATAAATAAATAAAATCTACATGCCACAATATAATATTCACCATCTGGTATGGAAGTGTACGTTCATGTTGAGGAAGTTTGCTCTAAAATTAAGAAATGTCTGCCAAATGAAAACCAGATACTATAAATCTATTTTTGAGAAGACATTAGTTTTGTTTTGTTTTCTTTCAGGGATTCACAGAACTCCTTCCTATAGACTTGATTAAAATTTTTGATGAAAATGAGTTGGAGGTTAGTAGCTTTACATGACTTTGTTTTGTGGACAGTAGATCAATACTGCATATTATTCTTAGAAATGCTAGATTCTGGAGTGAATGCTGTATGAATGGATTTGAAGGACTGGGTAGATTTTTCTCTCTAATTATTTGGTCTGGTTGAATGTGTGTTTTATATCATCATGATTAGAGTGGAGAGAGGTGCTTTTCATTAAATCGGGGGGAGGGGAGGAAACAAACATGTTTGCACAGATTGAGCTAGGTCCTTAAGCATGTTCAGAACTTGCTGATTCAGCGACAGATGTGGTCCCTGTCTCATTGAGTGTACATACTAATTACATTCATCTTAGTGGAGTGCACAGGTCAACATTCTCCAGGAACTCTACTAAAGATAGGAGAGCTTCCCTTTGTATTTGTATAAGCACTGCCTACCAGTTTAAAAGGAGACAGCGGAGGGAGGGGTTAACACTGTTTTGTGTAGATATTGTTTTCCTTTGTGCACCATTTTCTATTAAAATCTTAACAATTACATCCATATTTAGTTATTAATGTGTGGCCTTGGCGATGTTGATGTTAACGACTGGAGACAACACACAATCTACAAGAATGGTTACTGCCCAAATCATCCTGTCATCCAGTGGTACTGGAAGGTAATACTATTTACCCCACTCTTCTCATGATCCTTCTATTTCTGAGAGGAATGCCGCACTGTACGATGTACATTTTGGTGTGAAGTCTCCATGAAAACACCAAACAGTATCTTCTACACACACCGGATAATAACTACCGCTCTTCTTTTGTTGGTTGACAGAGTTCAATATATTCGTTAATGATCTGGAAAAGAGGGTGAACAGTAAAGTGGCAACGTTTGCAGATGATATACAATTATTCAAGATAGTTAAGTCCAAAGCAGACTGCTTGTACTGTCACCCTGTTTAGCAGGTCTGAGTGTGTGTGGTTTTTTGTTTTTATCCTTTTTGTGCTCTGACCTCTTCTACTGCTTGAAATGATTTCTTTCCAATGTTGATGATATATTTGTATACTGTCATTGTGTCTCCCTGTGATCATTACTTAGCCTAGCTAACACACTTAGTTCTCTTAATATTTCCTTGATAACGAAGAGTACAGTCGCATCATAGACATGTAGAGAGGGGCTATTTCCTCTTCCCCTGATTTGATGCCTCTGCACATACAACCCAAAGTCACACTTTGTTTGTCTTTGTTTTGTTCATCACATAGCGAGCTTGGCTCTAATTGGCTATCAGCTGCCACATCTGTTTCTTTCCATGCTGCTTTCTTTCAGCACTGATTCTTCCTCCCAATTTAAATCATCCTAAGGTTAGCCTTGTTGTAGCACACCCCCTCCCCCCAAAAGCCCTTTGTATAGACATGAGCACTTCAATTTTACTGTTATGCTTTTTGTGCATAATGTTTCAAGAATGTCTCCTTTTTGACCCTCTCCCTCCGCTCTCCCAATCTAGTTTCCCTTTCACGTGTTGCTCTGATGTTCGTAGCAGCATAGGGAGCTAACCCACGATACTGGTTTGATTTTGCAGCTTCAGCAGTTTATGCGGTCATTTTGATTCTCTCAGATCTTGTTCTTTGCCTCATTCATTAATTTTTCACTTCAAGATACACCTGTACTTGCTAAATATTGAGCTGTTTTGTCAGGGAGGCAGGAGTGTTAGCTTAAATAAATGTGAGCACTTGTGCCTACTTGGGTAGAACATAAAGCATGAAAAATAAATCTGGCGCTATATGTTTTGCTGGATAAGGACATTGAGATGTGTTTGCCGTCAGTAAAAGCGGTAGGCTCAAGATATATAAATGCCACCCTGTTCTTTACATACATCCAGTGGCTAAAATAGCCATAATATACAGGTGTATAACCCCCATATCAAAACAATACCTTAGGGAATAATATAGAATTTCTCTGCGATCTGACTACAGCAAATTTAGCACATCCAGTTAAGTGAATCTAATCAAATTATATCGTAGAAGATAGTAGCAAGGAATTGCATTATACAGTTTTAAGGAATCTCTGTCATTTGCTTTTCTGCGACTTCTGTTAGGAAGATTCATTTCACACACTTTGCTTGCTGCAGCTGCTTATATATATCAGTCTTCTTTAAGTGATTGTGCAGGGGCCTATGGTGGGATGTAATTGTGCACAACACATCTTGAAGAACAACAGTTATTGTACTACTCCAGGGGAATTCTGCACCACTACACAATGCAGAATTTTGCAGAAATTAATGTTGGGCACACAGAACTTCCTTTTTTCCCATAGAATAGGCTACAGAGATGTTGGCTGCCACTAGGGGCTGCTGGACCTGGCAGAGCCCAGCTCGCAAATAGAAGACAAGGCTAGGCGGGAGGGAGAGGGACCTGGAGGGTTCCCAGCTGCTGCAGTTCCCAGCATGCTCTGAAGGAAGGAGGCGGCGCACACGAAACTCTGTGCAAGACCAAGACCCAGAATCAAACTGTTTCTCCCTCTGGATCCGTGGGGGGGGAGCGTGTAGGGGGGGAGGGGTTAAGGGTGTCTGGGCCGGGGGGCCCCCCCAGATGGGCTCTGGGGGGGAAGAAGGGGGCAGAAAGGCAGGAACTGGGTTGTCGTAGGGGTTTAACTTTCTGCTCCTGGAGGAGATTTTGTGTGTGTGTCTGTATTATTACAGACATACTTGCTGACAGGTATTTCGAAATAAATTACCAAAATAATTGAAACTGGAGTGATTATATAGTGTTATTTTGACAAATAAAATTTTCAGAATTTTAAAATATTGTGTGCAGAATTTTTAATTTTTTGGTGCAGAATTCCCCCAGGAGTATTTTACAGGTAAGTAACTATTTTTACTGATTGTACCAAAAGGAAAGTCAACTCATCCAAAATACTGAAGTAACGTGTACTACTCCCAACTGCTGCCAAAGCACTGGGCTGTTTTGGGCTAATGGCAGTTGAGAGAAGAGTCTCTTTATCTAAGATTAGAAAGGCTGATATCACGCCAGCCAAAGAAAATACTGTAAGACTCTCCAACCTTTGAAGTTATCTATCTAGTTCTTGTGCTACAATACAAATGAATTGCACACACTGTTGTATTATGTGATACAGCCTGCTGACTCTCTCTGTTTGTGACTAGGCTGTCTTACTGATGGACGCTGAAAAGCGTATCCGGTTGTTGCAGTTTGTTACTGGGACATCACGAGTGCCTATGAATGGATTTGCTGAACTTTATGGTGAGTTAAAAATTGAAGGTACTTAAGGATGTTTAGCACTAAAAACTCTTTATTTTTGCTCTTTGAAATGGGTTGGACCAATTCTGAGTAGGATAATGGGCCAGCAAGACAACCTATGCACGACAGGGTTATTACAAGATGGAAGTTTTCACTCCAGTGTCCATTGAATTGCTCCTTCCCAACCCAAAAAAACCTATGGAGGCTTTATGACAGCAGCTGTGGAGGGCGCGTTCTTGCTCTCTGCAAGAATAACCTTGATAGGGTAAAGGGTGCGTACATATGGCCGCTACTGTGCTGATTGGAAGCCCACAAGTACATCACTGTTGCAGTGTTAATGTGTACTTATTTTGTGGCATTATATACACTGCACCTAAAATTAACTGTATGGAATAATGAGTAGACAGTATTTATAAATATAGGGCGAGATACTTACCTTCTTTAACGTGTACTTTCACGTCAGTGCAGTCTACCAATTATACAAGCCAAGGATTTAGCCTATAATTTTCAAACATATAATTTTGAGTTATAGCATTTATGTAGTCTATCTAAAATCCAGTGCTTAAACTATACTTGTGGGGATTTTTTACTCTTTGTCCAGGTTCAAATGGTCCTCAGCTGTTTACAATAGAGCAATGGGGAAGTCCTGAAAAATTGCCCAGAGCTCACACATGGTGAGTAATGAAAACATAAAATTAAGGAGTTTATGGATTGTTACACTGCCAAGAAAGGATGGATACTGGTGACCAAATTTGACAGGAACATACTCTATCTTAGGATCATGCCTTTGTGCTATAGAGACAGTTTTCTATAAATGGGATAATCTACAACCTTGTGCATTCACTGCCACGGTTCTAAACATTCAAGGAGTTTAGAATTATCTGCTCTCAAACTGCAGCCGGCATGGAACTGACAAAATTCCAGGAACTAGCCAGCTCAACTTCGGTCTGTTATAACTACTTCTCTTAGGCCAGGTCTACACTAACCCCTAATTCGAACTAAGGTACGCAACTTCAGCTACGTGAATAACGTAGC